TGTCTCTCCACATATTCGATGCTAGTTCCAGGGCAGATTCCGCACCACCATAAGTTTCCGACTAAACCCAGACGACCAAACTGGATACTGCCTGAGGAAAACTATCCTACACGGGTAGTGATGCCGAATGCACTCTGCACATACACAGTGCTGGGGTATCCAGATCATCAGGAGGTTGGACATTAAGCTAACTGGCGGTCGGACTCGTCAATTGCCGTCCAACATAATTTCAAAATAACTCGTGTTCGTCTGCTGTCCATGAATAGCTTCTGATTAGGACAACCTCAGTAATTTTAGTTGCTCTGCCAACAACGATAGCACTGCATCAGCATGTCTCTACGTTTCCATATCTTGTTTTACATAAGCGAAAGCGCTAATTTGTGGTTATGCCGACGGTCTTCTGTTAGAAGTGCATTTATGGCATGCTTTATGCCTTGGACTTAATCCTGTGCAAGGAAAGCGCCCCTGACCTACTGCATAACGGGGAGACTTGTACACACAGACCCATGGCCGATTTTATTCGAATATGGCCAGGTGCAGCGGGAGTCAGCAGGCGTTGCAGTTCTGAACTTCCGAGGGCATATCCACAGCGCCACACAAGGTACACGAGCTTCTAGGTGAAAACTTCTGCCACATGGAACACTGCCATGCGCTCTAGCAGACTGCGGCTAGAGCACCAGGGGATGGGGGGGGGGGGGGGTAGTCAGCTGAATATAGACCGACCCACATTATTTCGGAGGACTTGAAGACTATCAAGGTTCTTTCGTGGCAGTGAGAGCGAATACGGGTCGAAAGCGTACATCAGGTCAGACATGAACCGTGGTTTGAAGTACGCCATGCATTACTGGTGATTAAGGCAGTGATCTTCTTCGACACGCGCGCAGAACACTTGGCAATATGAGCGTAACATGACATACAGAGCCAGCGCACGCGAAAATCGACCTTAGTGACCCGCACTTCCAACTGAGAAAACGCACTTCAAACATTCTCTGTGTTCGTGTGATCTGCGATATATGAGGGAAAATGCTCTATCTTCTAAGAGTATGGAGTCTATCAGTACGCCAAGATAGCGAGCAATGGAGCGCACTACCTAACAGTGTGCCATGACAGACGACTTGTAAGTCTGTGGTTCTCTGACCTGCCTGCCAATGCTGCTGTTCTCACTATTCACACGCTCAGAGTTGCGTCCTACAGGGCAATTGCCACGATTACACACGTACGCGCATAGTTTCCATCAGGAGATGTTCCTGTGAGTTTTGCCGTGGCAAAGGCGAAGACTGCCCCTGTTGGTCGAATGTCGAAAACGCAGTTGAACTGAAAGCTGCTGTACTTGACCTGCGCGCCAGCACGGAGGTAGGAGTTGCTTTAGCTCTAACGTATGTAGTGGGTTACATGGACAGTGGCATGTTTCTTTGAAGCATGTTTCATATACAAGAACGGCAGGAACCACCACTGGTCTGACCAGCAGTGCTTCTAGCCTTGCTTGTGAATTTTTTCTATTTTTTTATTTATTTTTTAATAGAGCCACGTAAACCCGTCATGTGTGAGCAAAGAATAAGGGGAGTGGTGGCGTGGTCTGGGAGTTGACCGCCTAAACGTCGGTACATACATTGTACTAAATTCTGCACGTTCCGACTACAAGGGTCCCCGGTGTAGTGGTGTTGAGCACGCACGGGTAATGCGTACATTATCGATTCTCTCTGAACGACTAGTTGTGCATTCTTTTGGTGCATATATCCGACCCTTCTTGATGAACCCACATAATATACCGCGTGAGCACAGGTTCCATCCTGAATCAGTCAAGTTACATGCTGCGTTATGTCACCAAACACCAGCTTTTCAATCAAAAACAAAGCAGAAATTACTCAATGCGACTGATGTGTTGACAGGAGTAGATGACATCAAATATGACAAGCTTGTCGAAAGATGTCCCTAAAGGCAAGCATGTTTCTCCACATCTTCGATGCTAGATCCAGGGCAGATTCCGCACCACCATAAGTTTCCGACTAAACCCAGACGACCAAACTAGATACTGCCTGAGGAAAACTATCCTACATGGGTAGAGATGCCGAATGCACTCTGCACATACACAGTGCTGGGGTATCCAGATCATTAGAAGGTTGGACATAAAGCTAACTGGCGGTGGGACTCGTCAATTGCCGTCCAACACAATTTCAAAATAACTCGTGTTTGTCTGCTGGCCGTGAATAGCTTCTGATTAGGACAACCTCAGTAATTTTAGTTGCGCTGCCAACAACGATAGCACTGCATCAGCATGTCTCTACGTTTCCATATCTGGTTTACATAAGCGAAAGCGCTAACTTGTGGTTATGCCGACGGTCTTCTGTTAGAAGTGCATTAATGGCATGGTTTATGTTTTGGACTTAATCCTCTGCGAGGAAAGCGCTCCTGACCTACTGCAGAACGGGAGACTGGTACACACAGACCCATGGCCGATTGTATTCGAATATGGCCAGGTGCAGCGGGAGTCAGCAGTCGTTGCAGTTCTGGACTTCCGAGGGCATATCCACAGCGCCACACAAGGTACACGAGCTTCTGGGTGAAAAATTCTGCCACATGGAACACTGCTGAGTGCGCTTTAGCAGACTGTCGGTAGAGCACCAAGGGGGGGGGGCAGCTGAATACAGACTGAACCACATTATTTCGGAGGACTTGAAGACCATCAAGGTTCTTTCGTGGCAGTGAGAGCGAATACGGGTTGGAAGCATACATCAGGTCAGACATGAAGTGTGGTTTGAAGTACGCCATGCATTGCTGGTGGTTAAGGCAATGGACTCGCACTTCCAACTGAGCAAACGCACTTCAAACATTCTCTGTGTTCGTGTGATGTGCGATATATCAGGGGAAATGCCCAGCACAGAGGTAGGAGTTACCTTAGCTCTAACGTTTATAGTCGGTTACATGGGCAGTGGCATGGCTCTCGAAGCATGTTTCATTCACAAGAATGACAGGAAGCACCACTGGTCTGACCAGCAGTGCTTCTAGCCTTGATTGTGAATGCAAGTTGACCGCCTAGCCGGCAGTACATACATTGTACTAAATACTGCACGTTCCCACTACAAGGGTCCCCAGTATATACAAAGAAGTGTAGTGCTGTTGAGCAGGTACGGGTAATGCATACATCATCGATTCTCTCTGAACGACTCCTTGTGCATTCATTTGGTCCACTTATACGACCCTGCCTGATGAAGATGGCACATGAGCAAAGGTTCCATCCTGAATCAGTCAAGTTGCATGCTGCGTATAGGCACACCCTGGCAACCTACAGTTGGTCAATCAAGAACAAAGCATAATTATAAATGCCACTGTTGACAGGAGTGGATGACATCTGACATGACAAGCTAGACGAAATGTGTCCCTTTAGGCATGTATTCCTCTCCACATCTTCGAAGCTAGATTCACGGGAGATTCCGCACCAAAATTAGGTTCTGACGAAACGCAGGTGAAGAAACCAGAGACCGCCTGAGGAGAACTTGACGTCATCAGAAAACTATCCCAGCCTGGATAGAAATAGCCTGTTGAGATCTAAACATATGCATTCGGGAGATATCCAGAATATTAGGAGGTCAGACGACCAACTAACTGGCTTTGGGACTCCTGAATTCCGGCGGACGAATTTCTAATCAAAATCGTGTATGTCTGCTGGCCGTGATTGGTTTCGTATTAATTTTGGACAGCCACATTTAGGGGCACAACTAAAAACAACAGCAGTGTATCACCATTAGATTGTCTAACGTTTTCTTATCTGGTTTGCATCGGTCTCAGCGTAAATTGTGATTTATAGCTCCCCTCCCCCCCACCCCACCCCCCCCCCCATCTCTACTATGCTGTTCTCGAAGTTCACACAGCGAGCCTGAACCTACAGGCTACAACACTGAGGAACCAGACCCACAGACTTATTTGGAGTTCTTGTAGCGCTAAAGAATATTGCACAAATTCATCATCCGTGCATGTGTCCACCTCACCTCCTAGTTAGGCTGATAGATGGATTTGGACTGAATTTGAATTACCAAGTTGAAGTACTCTTATCTTCTTCATACTGCATTTTTGAATCCATTGTGTTAATTTTTACCCGTATTAAAGCCAATGGTAAAAATTATCTTTTGATTCTCAAGTACGCGCGCACCGATTTTTGGCAGCGCACCGACGAATTTTATTTAATTCTTTGCATGCATATGCGCGCATGAAAACGGTCAATGCGAAAGGCATGAATCAGGGAGTAGTAAAATACCTGTATTTTTCTCCTCCCTAGCCTGAATATAATTATGTCATGTGACCATGTACATTATGTGTGACCCTATCTTTGGAAAAAAATTGCGGGAAATAAAATAAAAAAATCGCTCGCTCGCACCAATTTTCACAGACTCGCGACCTGAGAATAAACTTTATTTTTACCCGTATTAAAAAGAGATTTGTATCCTGTAGGGAAAGTTGAAGAACGGCTCCAAGCGCCACGGTTCGGTACAAAATGCCGCACGTTCCGATTCCCACTGTCCTCTATGTGGTGCGGTTGAGTATCGGTATTGTACACATAATTCGTCCTCTCTCTTTGAACGATCGATTGTGCAGTCTTCCAGTCCATTCATCTCACTCTTCTGGATAGGCGTGCATATATGCCAAATGAGCAAAGAATCCAACCTGAATCAGTCAAGGCGTGTTGACAAAAGCCGGCAAATGCCTGCTTGACAATCAAGAACACAACAGATTAGGGCAATGTGATCTGCACTCTGTTGACAGGAGTGGGTGACATCCGAGATGACAAGCAGGGAGAAATGAGTCCCGTTTGGCATGTATTTCTCGCCGAACGTGACAACAACTTCGATGCTGTATGCAGGGCATATTCCGAACCGCCTATAGGTTTCCGACGAGACCCAGACGAACCAACTGGACACCGCCTGAAGAGAAATTGCTCTTGTCCGAAAACTCTCCCGGGATGGGTAAAATAAGCTGGCTGGTCTCTAGACTTAGGCAGTCCGTAGCAGGAACTTGTGTAGCATGTTTAGATTTATTTCTCCGGGATTCACCCAGTACCTGTATTAAATTTTGAACCTTCTCGCTTAGTCCGCCCAACAAGAGCTTGTGAGGACAGAAAAGACTCATGGCGTCTGAATCTGACACTGAGCCGGTGATGGTGGGGGCTCCAATGAAGAAGGACCATGATGCCCGTATTGCCGTCAAGGCGCCCGCTGCTTCCAAGCCAAGTCCGTTCCATTCAGTTTTCCAGGTTCGTGCCGGTTGTGTGAAGTGCCGCAGCCAATCGTTGGGAACTTGCTTTCTCCTGTCGACGTTGAACGAGGGCAACAAGTCGTGTAGTGAATACTACGTCTTTGCAACGGCCGCACACGTGACGTTCTGCAGAAACTGCAAAGACTACATGTGGGTGGAGATCTTAGATAACGCAAACACGGGAAAGACCATTACGGTGAATAAGATTACAAAGAAAAACGCATATGGCTGGATTAAAATCTGCGGTTCCTACCCCTCTCATTGCGAGAGCGACGATCAATTCGCCTACGATTACAGTGTGATTGCAGCTAGCAAGATGTATTGCAAGCAGCCACTGCGTGATTGGAGGACGGCATACATGCTGGGACCACATAACCTCGATGACAAAGGTTACGTGTCAGGATACCCCGGTTTCACGTATTATCATGGCAAAAAGGAGACGGCGAAGAGGTGTCAATACTGGGTGCCCACACCTTGCAAAGTGCAGAGAACCTCTCACGCCAATATACTGCGCCACTTCGTGGACACTAGTCCCGGCCAAAGCGGCGGACCCCTGTTCGCTATGGCCAGCAGCGATGCCGCATTACCGGCAGGCTTGCTAGGCATTCACGTTGCCGGGCGTGAGTACGAGTATAACACGGCCGTCACGTTGGGAAGCAACGCACCGCCCTTGCGAGACATGGTGTCCTGGCTGGATCGGCCTCCCACAGCATCAACCCCGGATGTACTCGTTGAAGATGACGACGGTAAGCAGTGTGATCATTCAGTGGAGCCAATCTCAATGGAGAGTGCAACAGTGAATTTTACAAAGACGTTAATTCATACCCGACGTCAAATGAAAGGAAAAAATGAGCTGGATTAAAATAGTGTGTACTTGTTCTTTATACCCGATGACAACTTAAAAGTGGGGTCATCCATTCGAATTTGTCCTTGTTGCTTGCGAACCCTGAATGGGTTAGCCATTTGGCACGGAGCATATTCCAGTGGCACTTTTCTGTGATATGACTTTTTGACTAAATAAACGATGCGTTCCGATGCATACTAGTAGAATTGTTGGTGTATTGTTTGTCCCGATACCATGGACATATAGCTGACCACTGTTTTCAAGAATCCAATTGAGTTATAATATTGTTTGTTACCTGTCTTTCGGATCTCCAGTCGAGTACGAAGATGAGCCGGAGGGAGCACCGTGGCTGATGTCGGCCTCACAGGCTGGAACCATGGACGCGGATGCTGAGCCGCAACTGCTACCAGACTCCCAAGACTCGCGACCGGCAAAGAAACAGGAGAGGATTCCAGAGCCGCAGAAACAGAATTCGAATGGTGGTCCGCAGTTGCCTCGTCAAGTGACGAGCTGTGCCGAGTGCTGTGCTGAGTGCTGTGCGGAATGCAGGTTGGTACCAGAAACTGTAGTCTCTGCAGTCCATTCATTGGAAACTGGCACCCTAACGGTTTGTTGTCTCCCGCACATTGTTGTAGATATCTTGAAAACAACAGTACATCCTGCATTGTGTGGCCCGTGCTGCCCTCCTTGCCACATTTGAGGCCAAAAATGTCCAAGAACAGGGAAATAGAATTCAGCCAAGTTTCACAACATTAGAACAGGTATGCAATGACAAAATGTATGGTGAAGCTGAATCCAAACCCAGAATTTTGAGATTGAAAGTTGGTGTTTGGTCCTCAATTCGGCCCAAATCAGACTTTCAAAAGCCAGTGGGACTGTTTCAGATGAATGGACTGTAGGTCTGAAAAAGGGTCTTACCGTCGATCTACGTCTCTTTTGAACATTTTGAGTAATCTATACCATGGCATTGCTGTATCTGAGCAGATCACTATGTTAGCAGCCTAGGTCGAAAATGCACACAGCTACGGGTGTTCCAATACGTGAATTATTCAACTCAAGGGTCAATTGACACGGAAAACTACACTTTCAAATGCATTTTTCTCAATACTGCGCGAAAGAACCAACTTTTCGGATATACAGGCTGAGATAAATATTGAAAATACAGGCGTGAAACTCTGAGTCACAGCCAATCCAAGCTCCGTATCCCATTCCATTCTTTGTTTGCATGAACCTCTGCACCCCGGTGCATTGAGCACTCTTTCGAGGACCACACCCAACTTTCCGTGCGTAAATTGAAAATATGTTATTCGGTGTCTAGGATTTGCATCATTGGGTATGTGCATGTGTATTTCTTGGTGTACGTCACAAAACCAAAACAGAAATGGCATCGACTCTCAGTGGTACATAATAAGCCAGTTACTTCTCAATGTTTGGTCAGCAGTTCAGCATTACACATTCGGTAATAAATCAATAAATAATGTTCTGTCTCCCAATCTTCTGTCGCAATCTTCTGTCACAATTCATGTTGGCAGATCTATGGCTACGCCATCCGCTGCAAAGAAAGGAGGAAGTCGCCAAGGCTGTACGTATTTGATCAATATCCTAATATCACTCCTATTTTGAGAGAGATGAGTTTGAAAGTCAAAATTCTGAAGGAAAATGACCGTCTGCACTCGCACGTGTATTCAAACAGAACTTATTTCCTAATTTAACTTCATTCCTTCAATGTGCGAACAACCTTACACACATGAAACTGCGAAATGTTTTATCTTTTGATAGCGAGTATGAAGTCTGAAGAAAATGTGTAATGATCGCGACTTGGTGGACGACTAAACGATAGCTTAGTTCTTGTGCATCGCTGCATGGGACCCTGGTTCTGTTTCGAGTAGTCCATATTTTCCTTTCCAATTTTCCCGTTTACACCACCTCCTCAAGCACATGAATCAGTTGTACATTTTTAAGCCGTCAAATCTACGGCAAGGTCAGTTTTCCTGATCATGTACACCTAGGGACCGGTGGATTCTGCTCGAAAAGTGGCAGATTCTGCTCGAAAAGCAGTGAAATTGGCAGAACCATACAAACCTTATGGCGGGCAATTCCTGGAATTCCGCTCTATTTCTTTATCCACATACCAAACATGCATGAAACTTTCCAGAAAAAGTACTGAATTCTGCCAATTTTTCTGTCGGCAGAATCCGCTGGACCATCGGTACACCAGACACGTGTTTGCAATGCAGCTCATATTTCCACACTCTACTGATCATAAGGAATTGAAACTGCAAAACCTTAAACTGCGTTCGATTTTCTTCCATCATATTTCATGCGTGTGCCCCTAATGAAATTTTTCTAAGCACTGGAAATAATTATCACTATTTATCCTGTGCATCTTCTCTTTTGCGACAGATGGGCAGAAGCAAAAACAACAAGCAGGCAGCAGCGATTGTTGCGTGATCTTATAACCTGTTCGATTTGATCAGGTACATTTTTATCTCACTGTAGAATTTCGCTATTTGAAAAGATTTTTTGTTGTTCTCTTTGTACCTTACATTTTGGTTCTAGACATTTCGCCGCAACGCATGCGAGCGACAGTAATGGTAACATATTTTTTAGACATTGGAATCGAGTACTCAACTACTAGTAGATCATTATTTCTTTTGTTGATAGGTGTTACTGTTACTTTCCTGTTAGAAAAATTCTAGCAATGATGCTGCTACGCTCAGTCAACTGGCCAAGCACTAGGGTAACTATGCATTGTAATATGGTTTTCGGTACTTGTGACAGTGTTTGTGAGACTAATACCGTCCCCCCCCCCCCCGCCCCCACCGTCAGGCGCTGCTTCGTTTACTGCTTTTGCCATGCATACGCGGTGTAAGTTGCCGTCGTGACTTCCGTTCCAGAGCGAAGACTAATCTCAAGACAACATGTACAGAATGAAAACTAAGGTGATGATCTAAAGCCCCTCCTTTTTGCTTGTAAAGATGACAGATTCCAGTCGGAAATTGTCTGTTTTCATTTTTTCTGGCCTGCTGAATTTCCTGGCACAAAAACTGGCAGGTAATAATATGAACGTACGAATTACTAGTGCGACTCTTCACAGCCATCATTTCTGTCAAATACATGTGAGTGTGTAGTGAGACTGGTTAACGTTTGGTCGGTCTGTTATAAATATGTAGGAATTGAAATGGGTAAAAGTGATATGTAATAAGTGTTGAACCAAGCAAGAACGCTACCTAGAACAATATTCTACCCAGATACAATGACATTGCAATTATCCTACCCCCAGAAGGTGGAATTTCCTGGACACCTCAATTCATACCTTGTCCAATCGAACACGTGTAAAAAGCAAATTCAATGGCAATCTTAAAGGATAAAATCACTGGCAAACAAGCTAACGAACAAAAGGAAAAAAAGATAGTATTAGTAAGAAGTATCAACTATACTAAATAAGATCAATCGTGCGCTCATAACAACAGCATACACAAGTGGTGCACAAAAGGGAGAAAAATTGGGCTGTTTCGTTGCTACTCGGAGTTTCATGGCAAAAACCAATCATAAGACAACATAAAGAGATTAGAAAAAACGCAGGTAAATGAAGGCAAGCAGAGGAGGTAGAATAATCCAGTGCAGCCAATATGATAATCAACACCTTCCAGAGGCACAACAACAGCATAAAAATACAAATGCAGAAATTTGATGGTTCCATAACGTTTTCTAGTGACTTTCATTAGTGAAACGCCGTAATATAAAAAGTATTAATTAAAACACCCACTTACATGTACATGTTGGCCTCAGTAGAGGGTCCAGCCCCTATATGATGTCAAACTCCTATAAAGAGTCCATTGGTCCAAAATCCACTGCACAAAGTCCAAACTTGGAATCAAATGTGAGCTCAAATTTTAGATGAACATCACTCCCTGTATAGAGTCCAGGCAATTGGCTTCACCCCATATAGAATCCACTGATCCAAAATCGACTGTACAGTCTTTTTTCTTTCTGGTTTAGTTATTACACATACTTCGAAGTATTAATATTATTTGGTGCAATACTAGCGCCCTTTTCTTGCACTAAATTATTATTTTTGCTACTTGACCATACACATGCACCCCCACCCTCCTTTGTTTTTCGATGCCAGGTTGCAACGCTAACGCCGAGGCCCCTGGTCGGTCGAGTTGCTCCGTGTACATCGGCACGTCGTCCCCACCTCCCCTCTGTCTTGTTTTGTGTTTGTCTCCACATGTCTCTTTGTAGGGCTGTGTTCCCAATAAAATGAATAATAAAAAACAAGTTTCAACTAGCTTTTACCGGTCGCGATGAGGACTTGTAGATGACCGAAAATAATTTGCTCGCCACATCATTTGCTAGTTGCAAATCAATCTGCTCACAAAATGGCCCCATCCGTTGTTGGCTCATCAGCTCAGCACTGGAAAAATGAGACCGAACATTATAGCGAAGAAAAAAGGAATTTTCCAACGCTAAATTGAACCAGGCCAGAACATACCTCGCCAGAGTCCTCAAACTAAAATATCACCATTATCTGGTGTTGACAAGGAATCGTGCGCACCTGCTCACATATCGGCCCCCTCCCACTCCCCCTTCTTCCCTTTCCCGATACGAGAAAGCGACAATTCAGACTTCTGTTTTCACTGCCATATTCGCGTACAATACAAGCTTCCCACTCGTTCTAAGGTGCACACGTCGCATTAACCTCTCCACCTACTCTGCGGTGACATAGCCACCGCTCTCTACTACTATCGCCGCCGCATCTCTGAATACCCGCGGCTGTTGGGTGTGGACACCACAGTGTGCTTCCACCGCCACACATCACACCACCTACCCAGTGCCCCCATGGCTTACCCTTGTCCTGCCTGGTGGCTTCTCCACCTCTGCACGCTCCATGCATAGTTCGCACCTACTGCGCATGCCCATCCAGTGATGTAATTCTTATCCCTTGCTCATGCCCATGCGTATCCCCCGCAATAAGAACAAGCTATCCCGTGGCAAAAGCATTAGTTGGCTGATGATTGCCTCAGCATTTAGCTACGTACATGAAACGCAGCGTTACAATGTATGTATTTATAATTGGTGGAACCATTCTTCTTGACCTTTGTGGTTACGATCCGCCCTTGTGGTGTTGAGCACTGTTGAAACCTGTGTATACCCACTTATGTCGATTAATTAAAGTATAGCTCCACTGTGTTCGTGCACACACAAAGATAGATTGGCGTGGATATCAAAGAAAAAAGAGCACTTTTAACTCAATAGAAGAGGAACGAAGAGATGGTGAGATAAATATCCTTGGGTTCAAGGTGGTTGAAAGGAAGAATTGTACCGCTTGTAAATTTAAATGCCACTGCAACAACAAAACAAAAAAAACGCAACTCAAAGGCCAGAATCTAACCGGAAAAAAATCAAGTTTTTTCTTCAAGATCTACTGAAGATGGTTTTGTTTGATTCTTCATCAATTTTTCTGAAGTTCATGGTTTAGGATAAAGCCCTGAGCGAGCTGTGCCACCGAATGTAAAGGGATAATATGTCGGACCAAGATTAATCGATTCTGTGTTTCGCGGAAAAGTAATAAAAAAATATATCTGATCCGGTAAGCCTTTCCTAACACCGAAATTTAAATTATGCCCTTCGATGAAATTTGTCAGGGAGAATATCGATCTCGGGAAAATATTCCAATCCAAAAGGAATTTGAAACTCGGATGTTGAGCCATAAATAAATGAAAAATAGAAAAGGACATATGGATACGAGTTTAGAGTAACTCTCCATCACTGTAACATGATACTATATACAGTCAGAAAGTGCAACAACTAGGCACAAAACTGACAGAGTACTGAGACATTCGACGTCCTGACACCTAACTTTAACACATCTCCGTAGTCTCTTTGGTCTTTTCCATAACCTTGAACCTTCCAAGTTGGAAGGCTGTCGGTTAGCGCTACGGAGATGTGTTAAAGTTAGGTGTCAGGACGTCGAATGTCTCAGTACTCTGTCAGTTTTGTGCCTAGTTGTTGCACTTTCTGACTGTATATAGTATCATGTTACAGTGATGGAGAGTTACTCTAAACTCGTATCCATATGTCCTTTTCTATTTTCCAAAAGGAATTCGCAACATTTACGATGTGGGCCGTAAAAAGTTGGCAAGAATGAGTGACAATAGGTCAAAATATTAAGGATGTATCCAACAGCAGAAGTGATGAAAGGTGAGCAACGATTACAAATGGGAAGCGTGACACAGAAATCAAATCGTAATTTTCCACGCATTTCCGATGATATTTTCAACACCATAGCCAACACACTAAGCACCAACCGTCTGAAAAAGGGGCATTGGCCAAGCATTTCGGAGTTTTTCCAGTGATTACACTCGATCTTGAAATGAAAGAAATAAATGTTATCAAGATGCGGTTTTAGTCTGTACTCATATTTGAAAAACAAGGACTTCTCTCCTTCTATGTAATATGTACATCTACAACTGTTAAACCTCTCTACAGCTGGCTGGCAGACAGAATACGACAAGTACATTTGACTTGCTGTGCTCTTCTCTAATAATGATGAACTTACATGTAATACGTATGTCTCCACTACAGCCTCCAATAACTGTTCCCGCCAGGTGCATAGCTCTTCCACGATACTTGAAACCCAATGATCCGGGCAATCTATCGCAGTAACCTCAACACCAACGTGGATTTCATGCTGATTGGAAAATACAGATCCGACTGGAAATGCTGACAGTGCGCGCCTGAAGTTGTCTGTACTGAAAGGAACACGGGTTCCACCGGCTCCACTAGAAAACTGGATGCGTAAATCTGGAATTCCGAATGCGGTCAGTTCGATTTTACCATAATCAAATGTCGATAAATCGGGACTGAAGTTCAAATTCACAGTTAGGCACAGTGTGGTCACTTTGAAACGGTAACGATTGCTCCAGAACTGCAGTCGGAAATCTACCATACTGAGTCTTACTCAGACACTGTCAGCTTTAAACAATATTGCCTTGCCTCCTTGAGTGTCTCAATGTCTACCACAAAGTTGACGGTAACTTAGCCGAACCTAGGTGCGATTCTTCAACAATCCTGGCGAACACTGACGTCTATTGACAGGATTCTAAGTAGTTATAAGTGAAACCTAAGGTGACATTCGACAATTTTGCGGTGATGCGTGGGAAGATGATATCTTGCACTGCACGAAACTATTAGTGTCTAAGTACAAAATATACATGCCCTTCGTGTAACTGTTGACAGCCATTGTCTCTCGCCAGTTTCGCTGGGTGAAACATCGACCCCAAGTGCAAAGCTCCGGCCATGATCTGTTCCCACTACAACTGTGTAGGTTTACAGAACAACAGGTAACAAGTAACAAAGTTTTTTTGTTGGAACTTGTATTTTAAAATGCTCTGCAATCATCGGACATCATGAATACGCTGTGGGTCACCTCTACGCTTATGCCATTAGAAATATAGGTGGTATTGGGGCGTTGGTTAGCTGTATGTACATTGAAGTATATGTATGGGCAAGCAGTGGGACACTGTGAGCGTGTA